GTCGGAGCTTGTGCGCGCGCACACACACGTGCAAAACAAACGAACACATATTAAGATGACATGAAACGAAACACACATTTTCATACCGGCTTGAAAAGCCTGTGAAAGCAGAAACCCGAAACCCTAAACCCTAAATCTGCCAACACAGCCTCAGCTGCTAAGGCCATTGCCTGAATGTCCACCACACGCTTAATCTACAGGAGGCTGACGCATATATAGCACTTACGCAAAGCTACCTTCTCATTTCTGAGGTCTGCTTGTTCAAATTCTAACAAATTACTACACGTGCTGCTTTTGGGGGATGTGATTCTGATAATTCTAACTCCTGTGGTGCACGACCACTGGCCCCCTTTCCTTGCCTGTGTGGCCCGCACATGGACATCATCCACGAATACAGGCATATGTCCTGATGAAGGGCCACTAGTAGGCATGTCTGAGCAAGAAAAACATCAGGTTTACGTGGTACGGAAGTCTACCAGGTCATGTGCAGTTCAGTATCGAAGCTGTTCCCTGCCTTCTAAAGTAACATGGCCATCATAAGTCCGTGTTTCGGCTGAAGTTGCTTAGCAAGTGTCGCATCTTGGTGTACCAAGACGACGAAAAATGGTAGCGGCAGGTGCGTCGTAGGGTTTGGGGTGGGGGGAGTAGATTCCGGGTAGTTTGAGAGTTACTAGATATGATACACATGCACGTTTCAATGCACTCCTCCACCTATGTTTCAGCCGACCCAGTCAAACGGCAATTTTCTTTATTCTGTACCATCTGCTCTCGACTTGTTGGGGCTTGGCTTGCTCCGCTTTTAGTTTGGACAGTTCCCCCGGTCATCTTCTCATCCTTCACGGCATTTTGTTCATGGAAGAAGCCTGCCCTTAAACCCTCAAGTTGATGCTCTGCACATCTAAACCCTAAACCCTAAACCCGATACCCTAAACCCTAAACCCTAAACCCTAAACCCTAAACCCTAAACCCTAAACCCTAAACCCTAAACCCTAAACCCTAAACCAACAAGGGGCACCATGGCAGCAGCTGCTGCAGAGGGCCTGGTCGCCCGGGAGCTGTGGGAAGGTTTGGGCGAGGCTCGCACGGGGGGAGGCCGCAACATAAGATTGGGTTTAGGGTTTAGGGTTTAGGGTTTAGGGTTTAGGGTCTAGGGTCTAGGGTTTAGGGTTTGCAAGATGTTAAGGAAGTTGGGTGGGGGGCGAGGGGGTACTGTCAGCACAGCTACCTACAGCAGAAATTGGCAATGTCGTTGGCAGCAGAGTTACCTCAACTTGAAACCAAACCTGCTGCCTGAAAATCTAAAGCCTAAATCCTAAACCCCCAACCCCTGAACCCTGAAACCCAAGCGCTGGACATTTCTACAACCTTTACAGCCCAACCAATGCTCGCACCCCAAGCCCGCATCCTAAAATTCAACTGTTCCAACCTCCGTTCATCTGTAGCTATGAGTAGGGTTTTAAGTATGAGAAGTATACTTGAATCTCTTATATCCCCACTCTAAACTACCCATGAACCTCCAAGTAGAGCCTGAGCCCTTTTGTCTTTCAACACTGCGAAAGCGCAAAATCACCCCATAGAGCTTGAAGCCTTAAAACCCCGTCCTGAGCCTCCAAGCCTCGGACCCTGAACCCCAACAACCAAAACACCGCAGGGTGTGCCTGTAGGGTTCAAAAGGTTTAGGGTTTAGGGTTTAAGGTTCAGGGTTTAGGGTTTAGGGTTTAGGGTCAACAACCAAAACACCGTAGGGTGTAGGGTTCAGAAGGTTTAGGGGAACCTGAAGTTCGAAACTGAGCAACACAGTAGTTCATATTCATAGCACGGAACCCGAGTCCCAAACCCCTTGGCCGTCACCTCTGAATCCTCCCTAAACCCTAAACCCTATAAACCCGAATCCCCTGAGAACCCTGCACTCTCAGTGCCTCTTCCGGGGCTTCAGCGTTCAATTTGGGTTTTGAAGGGCGTGGGGGCTTGGCCCAAAGAGTCGTCGTTAGTTCGGGTTGCCGGGCGTCTACGACTCATAGCCCTAAACCCTAAACCCTAAACCTAAGCCCTAAACCCTGCAGGTTCCTCAAGGCCTGGGGCAGGGATTCCGCTCACTGCTCATCCTTGGGCCATCGGGTGCCGTGCCCGGCAAGTCCTGAAAAATCCTAGCCTCACAAGCTGAGTTGCTTCCCCTTAGGGTTTCGAGCTTAGGGTTTGGGATTTAGGGTCTAGGGTTTAGGGTTCAGGGTTCAGGGTTTAGGGTTTAGGGTTTAGGGCTCTGAGGAAGATGTTCGAGGCCTGGTGACTTGACGGCCTCTTTAGGGGGTACCTGTGGTGACACGGACATCCCAACCCACAACCCTGAGTCCTGAGACCCTCATATCCTGCGAGGTTCCCCCTTACACTAACAGTCCTTATACTGGGGATTATCATAGGGGGTCGTATAATTCCCTACTAAGGACTGTTAGTATAAGGGGGGAACATCCCAGCTGATATCCCACTTGGTGGGGTTGTGGTGTTCATTGCGGGGGGGATCGCTGGATTCTTCGACACCAGAATGGACCCTCGCCCCAACGGCTCCAAACCCGAAACCCTAAACCCTAAACCCTGCAGGTTCCCGAAACCCTAAACCCTAACCCGAAACCCTAAACCCCAAACCCTAAGCCCTAAACCCTAAACCCAAAACCCTAAACCCTAAACAGCCCAGGCAGCGGCAAGTCGACGTTGCTTCGCGCGATTTTGGCGAAGCACTTTCCCGACTTCGATGGGTCGGGGGGCTAAGCACTGCCCGGCTCAACCTTTGCAGGGTTTAGGGTTTAGAGTTTAGGGCTTAGAGTTTAAGGTTTGGGGTTTAGGGTTTCGGGCCTAGGGTTCAGGGTTGAAGGTTCAGAGTTTAGGCTTTTTCGGGCTTAGGGTTCAGGGTTTAGGTTCTTTCAGAGCTTAAGATTCATTCAGGGTTTAAAGTTCAGGGTTTCAGGTTATTTAGGGCTTAGGGTCGTTTTAGGGTTCAGGGCTCAGGATTTTACTTTGCACTCATCCTCGTTAAGTATATTCTTCAGTTCGGGTTGGGATGATTTTGGGCAGATCTCGCAAGGCAGGAGCGCCTATGAGGGCAGATCGCACTGCGGTTCCTCAAAAAAATAGGAGCCTGTTGCAGTTGCCCCGTCCTTGAGGGTTAGCCAACACGACCTGCCCGAGTGTTCCTGAACGTAATTCCGCGCAGAGCCCCGCATGGCGAACGTACCAATCAGGGGAGTTCTGATTTGTTTCAATACACGGTGTAGGCTTGTATGTATGTCGAAGCAGATTGTGAAGCAGGAGGGGCCTTATAAGCGCTGTACCACGCAAGGCAAGGACGTAAGGCGCTCATAGCCCAAATAAACAAACCCGTAAGCAGCAAATCCTTGCAGTGCAAAGCCCCCTTATACGACCAGTCCTTGATAGGGATTAAAGTGCCACTTTTTTTACTCCCTATTACGGACTGCTAGTATAAGGGGGAACATCCCAAGCTATATTACTTGGTGGTAGTTAAAAGTAGGGGTATAAGCGGTAACTATACTTATGACCCTATGCCTACTTGGGGTTCTTATCACCCTTCATATCACAACCTGTGAACCTCCCCGTAGTCTTGAGGGTTTGCGGCTTAGGGACTCGAAAACCTAACCTAAACCCCAGGCCCTTGTATCCATCCACGGAGTGGCCAGACGGTGTCGCCACCATTGAAGCTTTCGAGACTGCTGAACAAGGCGCCCCAGCAACGGGGTTTAGCGTTCAGGCTCAATTCCCTCCCTAAACCCTCAGCCCTAATAAAACCCCAAACCCTAACCCTAAGCCCTGAACCTTAATCCAACCCTAAAGTCCAGAAAGGGTCAGTTCAAGTTTCGGGCTCCTGGGCTGCTTTCTGGGGGCTTAGGGTTCAGGGTTTAGCGGGCTGCAGAGGGTTCATGAACTTTGTTTTAACTGCATTCAGCAAGGACTCCGATGCGTCATTGCCTTTCGAAAGACTATCACGCCTGCTGCCTGGTATACGGCCCCCACCTCTGAAAAAAGCGGGGGGGAGCGTTTAAGTTTATCAGTTAGGACTATGATGTGTCTCATTCCATGAACATAAGGACCCTAATGCTAGTCATGCTGTCCATAGAAGGCCTTGTTGCAAGTTTCGGACAAGGAGAGCCCTGGTCTCCCCCTCCGACACTCCAGACGAAAGTCCCGAAGTCGACGTTGCAAGGGGGCAGAAACCCTAAACCCTAAACCCTAATTAGACCCTCTTGGCATGTCCAGGAATCCTGAAACCTAAGTCCTCGGCTCAACATAAGCCTAAAAGCCTACAGCCCTACGTAGCCCTATCAGCCGTATCCTATAGCATCCATCAGCCCCAACCTGCTGAACACCCTAGTCGTAGAGTAGGTGACCTTGAACCTTCTTGGGGTAATGTCACCCCCTTAGAATCCCAAAGGTTAACCTCAATTTCCCCCAGGGTACTGGACAGCTGAGACACCAATAGAGCTGTAAGACCTACATGCCCTACATCCCTGGACCCTCGGAGGTCCATGAGAAGTTATAAGTAGGGTTCTAGGTACCCGAAATAGGCTTACAAGTATAGCTACCATACTTATAACCTTTCTGTTAACTAAGCTTATAAGTATAGCTACCATACTTAGAGCCTTACTTCTAACTACCCCTGAGCCTCCAAGTAAGCCTTGAGCTAGACGCAGCCCGCGCTGGTCGACGGAAGGGTCTCTGGCCCAAACTGCGTGTCGTTAAGGGGGAGCGCCGGGGCTACCCCGTACACCGTTTCACCTTGGCTTCCTACACATGACAAGCAGGCAAGCACCAGGCTCCGGCGACAACAAATGCGCAGATTATGTCGGTCTATGAGTCCAGTTCCTTCCCTAGAACAGGTTTTCCGAATGCATCGAGAAAGTCGGGCAAAAAACTGCCATCAGACGTCCAAATCCTTTAAGGACTTAGTACCCGTGGCTTAGTTAAGATCCACCTCGGCTTGTTTGTCCGGTGCCATGGCGGCCGAGACACACGTGGCACAAGCGTCCCTGCTCTGCAACACCTGCGTCTAGTTGGGGCAAGCCAAGTCACATAGCCCTGGGACCCATTTGTATGCAGCACCTGACGCGTAGCCGAAGCATTTTTTTCTGAACTTGGGCTTCGCAGTTTGGATGTTGGCGTTGAGGCCATCTTAGCCGGCATCAGGTTTAGGGCGCATAGTATAGCTAGGGCTTAAAGTCAACGCACGTCAGAGAGTCCTCGTACAAGAAGGTTTTTGGCATTTACTGTCCGAGGCTTGCAATTTGAAGGGCTGCGTTCAGGGCCGAGACTGGGTTCAGAAAGGGTCCGGGCGCCAGGGACTCCATTTTCCTGGCTTGTGCAGACGAAGGGGGTACCGTTTAGGGTTTAGGGTTTAGGGTTTAGGGTTTAGGGTTTAGGGCGACTGAGGCAGGCCTTCTTGGATGGCACCCTCCGGCGAGCTGCGCGGTGGGCATCGCTCGAGGCCAGCAGCCATCCAAAGCACAAAGTGGTTGTGTGAAGGGCTTTTAGAGAGCAGGGTTTAGGGTTTAGAGTTTAGGGTTTAGGGTTTCGGGTTTAAGAGTTTAGGGCATCGTACACTTCAATAAAGGAAGATGCCCAAGACCAGCTAGAGATAGGGCTCCTTTTTCAAGAAATGAGGTGATAGTTGATGTATTCCCAGGACTTTATAGGGATCTTTGTTAAGAAGCAAGGAGCAGAAATAAGAGGTATTGACCCCTCTCTCTCTGGGTTGAGTCTGAGAACCCAACTCCCGAAACCCTGCAGAGTAGGGTTGAGAGCTTTTCCGATTTCGTTTGAGGGTTAGGTTGCAAGAAGTGAAACCAAGATAGCCATAGCTGCACGCACTCAGTATCACCCTAAACCCTAAACCCTAAACCCTAAACCCTAAACCCTAAACCCTAAACCCTAAACCCTAAACATTACTCAGTTGCTCGCACTACGAACGCGCGTGCATTATGGAAACGACCGGGTGCCTCCTTAGCCTCTCCCACAGGGGTTGATGTTGGAACCCTAGACAACCCGTAGCTTAAACGGCCTCACAGAACCTTAGGGTTTAGGGTTTAGGGTTTAGGGTTTAGGGTTTAGGGTTTAGGGTTTAGGGTTTAGGGTTTAGGGTTTAGTGAAGATCCGTAAGCCTCAAAGCCGACCTATAGAGCCTCTGGGACCTCTACTCGAGAAGGCGCAAAGGGGCCAGTACTGTAGCGGTTTCGGGTTTAGGGTCTGGGGTCTACCCCAATACCTTAATGCATATAGGGAACCCTAAACCCTAAACCCTAAACCCTAAACCCTAAACCCTAAACCCTAAACCCTAAACCCCCTACTACCATTTAAGGTATATTCCTTCATTTATGGGGTATTAATTAAACTCTTTAGGCAGAGCTGAAGTCGAGTCAGGTGATCGAGGAGCTTATTCAACGTGGCTGTCGCACCTGGGCCAGAGGAGTGCAGCGGTTTAGGTTTTAGGGTTTAGGGTTTAGGGTTTAGGGTTTAGGGTTTAGGGTTTAGGGTTTAGGGTTTAGGGTTTAGGGTGTTCTTTTCCCAGTTGGTGAGTCGCAGAAGTTCAGGAAGTATCTTGCCCTAAGGGAGCAGCATGGTGAACTGAGTTTTTCGAGCCCTTAGCGAGTCTAGGTCGGTCGAGCTTGATATGTTCGAGCCGAGGCCATCTGGCCACCCGACACCCTAAACCCTATACCCTAAACCCTAAATCTTGAACAAACCCAAAGCAACAAAAACAATCGCCATGTCTTGGCGATGCCAAGGTTCAGGGTTTAGGGTTTAGGGTCTTCCCCTTGTTTGGAGTAAAGTTCTCGTCTGAAGCCTGTGCCACTTAGCCAAGAAGGGCAGTTCACCAGAAAGTGCACCATGCCAATTTTCCTTCCTCGTGTTGGCAAGATATCTAAAGGGTTCTTAAGGGAGGGGGGTTCATGAGGGTCGGTACCTGGGGAACTCTAGGGAAGCTTAGGGAGCCGTCGGGAGTAGTGGGGTACATACCACCCTTGAACCCCCCCCCTCCCTCAAGGGTTTAGGGTTCAGGGATAATTAAGGGTTTAGGGATCCTAAACCCGAAGCCCTAAACCCTAAACCCTATAGAAATTGTTTGCTTCGAGGCCCAGTGCCTAAGTTGGTGCTCGACCTTGTGAAGCGGCCGGATCCCATCACTGCACTCAAGGCAGACACTTCTTCTAGGACCCGGCGTGTCCGTGTTTTGGGGTTGGGGTTCCCCTATAATCCCCTTAAAACCAAACAGGGTGCCCTTTTTCCCTCCTGGGTTACTCCTGGGTCGAGTTGCACTCTATTACCACGCCATCATGCGCCTGTTGGCAAAGAGTATTCCTGAAATCATCTTCAATCATGATTGGTTCCCAAAACCCTCAACCCTAAACCCTAAACCCTAAATAGGGCTACTTGGAGGTTCATGGGTAGTTATAAGTAGAGCGATAAGTAAGTACCCCCCAAAGAGGGTTATAAGTATAGCTACCATACTTGAAAGCCGTACTTACAACTACCCATGAACCTCCGAGTAGGTGGGCAGGTAAGCTTGAGCTTTTTTGCTTGGTATTCGAAACCCCTTTAGAAAACCCATGGTTGACCATCAGCCGGTGGGGGGTTTAGGATCTAGGGCATCTAGGGTTTAGGGTTTAGGATTTCGTGAAAAGGGTTTAGGGTTTAGGAATTTTTGTGTTCAGGGTTAGGCTTTGAAGGGTTTGGGGCTTTATTTCGTCTACCTGGCCATTGCAGGGCCAAAAGCACTACGCCCAGAGACACCGCCGCCAGCCCACCCAGAAGCAAAACAGGATGTTCCCGAACACCAAAAGTCCCTAGACCTTAAACCCTGAACCCCCCTAAACCCCCTCACCCTACACCCGGCTTCAATCGCGGCTCTCTCCCCCCCCCCCCCCCCCGTGTGCTCCGTGTCGTAGGTGATTAAGCTCCTGGGTGACAAGCATGGCGTGGACGTCGCCGCCAAGGTCGTGGACCAGTCGGGCGCCTGCCCCCTCTCCTTGGCACCTCGGGCAAAAGAATCCAACACTTTTTGAAAATACTTCTGTAACCTGAGATCTTTAGCCTTTTTGGGTTTCGTGGGTTTCTAGGGGAGCTAAGCGGGGAGTTTGTAGAAAGGTGCCGACGAGCAGCCACAAAAACACGCTGCACCTACAACCTTGAGCCTTGAGCCCTAAACTCAGGGTACTTCTAAAGGCATGAACTTGGGAGCTGTGGTTTTCCTTTTTGGCGGGGCCCCAAACCCTAAACCCTAGACCCTAAACCCTAAACCCTAAACCCTAGACCCTAGACCCTAAACCCTAAACCCGAAACCCGGGTGGGGGGGGGGGGGTGGGGGGGGCCTCTGTTTGTTTCGAGTTTCGAGGGGCTTTTGTGGCACCCTCCAGCCCCATCAGCCCCACACAGCATTCCTGAAGGGTGCGTACCATGTCCTGCAGCGGTGTAGGGTTTAGGGTTTAGGGCTTGGGGCCCAGGACCCCTGACACAAGGGATGTTGCCTTACACGATCATGGGGATCCCTGTATCATGGTTTAGTGGCCATACTCCTAAAATTTCCCTAACCCCTAAAATCCCCAAATAACGGGTATTTGGGCCGTCTGGGTGGCCCTGGGGATTTAGGGTTTAGGGTTTAGGGTTTAGGGTTTAGGGTTTAGGGTTTAGCCATCATCTTGAAAGGCTGGAAGAGGCTTTCATGTACCTAGGTCTTCTTGCCTATTCTCCGTCGGGTTTCGTTTTCGAGTGCTTGGATTTTAGGTCTTGCTGGCTTCCCTCGTGGTTAGGAGAGATGGCATAGGGCCTGTGCGCAGACCACTTAGTTGAGTTTGCCGCTGTCTAAACGAAACATGTTTTTTTCCAAGGTTTTCGGCTGCCGGTACTGCAAGTGTCCTGCAAATGCGGTGTGAGTGTCAGCTAGGCAGGTGACAGAAGACAAGCCGGCCGGGATTGTACGAGCGCCCGCTCACAAAGCCCAGCAACCCCGGGTCCACTTCAGCCGGATTTAGGGTTAGGGTTTAGGGTTTGGGGTTTGGGGTTTGGGGTTTGGGGTTTGGGGTTTGGGGTTTGGGGTTTGGGGTTTGGGGTTTGGGGTTTGGGGTTTGGGGTTTGGGGTTTGGGGTTTGGGGTTTGGGGTTTGGGGTTTGGGGTGTGGGGTTTGGGGTTTGGGGTTGGGGGTTTGGGGTTTGGGGTTTGGGGTTTGGGGTTTGGGGTTTGGGGTTTGGGGTTTGGGGTTTGGGGTTTGGGGTTTGGGGTTTGGGGTTTGGGGGCCCAACACAATTTGAGCTCTAGCAGAGGCTGCAAGAAAAGGCCATCTGGAGATGCATCTTGGTCGCGTTTGTTCAGTTTCTGCTGTGGGTTTAGGGTTAAGGGCTAAGGGCTAAGGGTTAAGGACTGATCTGCCGCATGAAGAGAGACAGAGAGAGAGAGAAAGAGAGAGAGAGAGAGAGAGAGCGAGAGAGTGAGGGAAAGCAAGAACTACATAAAGAAAGGTCTGTAAAGAAAGAACGAAGCAAGGAAAGAAGGACACACGACAATACGCAATATCTCCGAAATAATAGTCAGAAGGCAGGAAAGGCACATACACACAGAAAAGGACTGAATTAATGACAAATATGCATGCAAGTCATATACGTGAAGGTCATCTAAAGGAGTGGGGCTAGCCAGTCAATGAGAAATTTCGCTGTGCTCACATCGAAGTGCCAGTTCATATTATCACAGTCAATTTTCGGGGCTTAGGGTTTAGGGTTTAGGATTTAGGGTTTAGGGTTTAGGGATTAGTAAGACACATTCCCCACTACTTCGCCAAAGTACTAGTTCAAGGCCCGTACCGTTCACTAGCAAGGAACATCAGACCAGCTGAGTATTGCTTGCACTCGAAAATCAAGCATTTTTTTTCAGAGCCGGTATGAAGTAGATAGCAACAAATTCATCAACGGCAGACAGCAGTTTCATACTGCGCATGCTCGGCTTCGGCTGTGTCGAACCACTGGCTAAAGGGATATTCGTTGCATGGAGATTATTGTCCACCGAATGTTTTTAATGCTACTGAAATACTTGTACATTGACCACAGCCATTAAGTTTATGCCGTTTCAGGCCTCAAGAGAATTAAGCGTTAAACAAAGGTACGAAATTAACATGAAAGTAAGCACCCCACTTGAATAGAATCCCACACCGCCCCAACATGTTTCATCCCGATAGAGTCCCGCCAAGCATCCCAAAAGTGCCCAACCGTTTATTTTTGGGAGTTTAGGGCTTTGGAGTTTAGGGTTTAGGGTTTAGGGCTTGAGGGTTTTAGGGTTTCAGGGTTTCAGGGTTTTGGTGCTTTAGGGTTTGAGGGTTTTAGGAGTTTTAGGGTTTTAGGGTTTTAGGGTTTTAGGGTTTTGGGGTTTTGGGGTTTTGGGGTTTTAGGGGTTCCCCGCCGAGTGTCCCTGCTGCCCACCCTCAGAGAAGCGCGCAGAAAGTGTCAAGTTTCGAGTATCCCTGGAGTGCCCACCCCCAAGGGAAGCCCAACAGAGTGGAGCATGTATACTGAAGTGCCATCCGACGACGGGTCCCGCCGAGTATCCCTAACGTGCCCAAATTGCCCCACTCCTGAGTCACCCCCAGAGAGCATCCCGGAGAGAGACCTGCCCAGTATCCTTAGCGTTTTAGGGTTTAGGGTTTAGGGTTTAGGGTTTAGGGTTTAGGGAGTACCCACCCCGCAAGACTGCCGAGTATCACTGGAGTGCCCACCCTCAGAGAATTCTGGGCAGCATCCTGCAACAGAAGCCTGTAGCGAGCATCCGCAATTACCTGAAAACTGCTGGGTGGTTCCCACATCAGGTAGCTGTAGGGTGGGAAATATTGAAGAAAATGCGCACTTGTTGGATACCGGCATGGTAATTAATTATTTCTTTGTTCTTAGTGGACCGTTGGTGCTCCACCCAACCCTACATCACGGAACCAAACAACTTACAAGGAACTGTTCAGAAGGAGGATCTCAAAGCAGAGGAAGGAAAGATTAGGTCTATTCCTCCAAGAGATGGTGGTTTCCGTGCATACCCCTAAGCCCTAAACCCTGAAAACTCTACTTGGAGGTTCATGGGTTGAGTAGGGTTCTAGGTTTGGTAACTATACTTAGCAACCCTTTTTAAGGTATTTTTAATCCTATTTATAACGCCCCATGCAGCCCTAAACCCTAAACCCTAAACCCTAAACCCTAAAAAAAGATCCTAAACCCTAAAACCTAAACCCTAAACCCTAAACTCCAAGTAGGTCTGCATCTGAGGTGCCGGTACCTGATCGAGAAGGGTGCAGATGTAAACAGGGGCGCCTCTTGACCGGACGTTAGCTCGTAGGGTTTAGGGTTTAGGGTTTAGGGTTTAGGGTTTCTGCGGATGCTGAGTAAGGCCTCAGACGCCAGGCGGAGAGTGCTTGGAGCTTCATGGGATGTAATTGCGGAAACCCTACTAGTAGCTGTAGTTAGGGTTCCCTCTAACCCTGCTTTTTAGCATGCCATGAACCTCCAAGTACCCAGTACGAGATTAGTTTGGTAGACACAAACAGCTTGGGACTTAGATGGTTGCATAATATTGGCACTTATAGCTGGTGAGGGTTTATGAGCTCTCATGGGGTGTGGGAGTCTAAACCCTGAACCCTAAACCCTAAACCCTAAACCCTAAACCCCCCTACTTTCTGATTGATGCATGACCCTTGGCAGGGTTGAGGAACGATCGTTGCTGACCTGAGCATGCTCATGGAGCCAAATAGCCGCAATCAGGGAACGCGCCTTAAACTTGTAAACCCTAAACCCTCCATATAGGGATCCTTATGTCGAAGTAAGGCATGTTCCCAGGTTGAGATTCCAGGCTCTCTCGCCAGGACTTCAAAGTTTCTCACCGTGGGTTCGTGCTTCGCCAAAGGTTTGGGGTTTCAGGGTTCGGCTTTAGGGTTTAGGGTTTAGGTTTATGGTTGTATGCATGTTTGCCGCCTAGACAGGTCTGTCACAGGCCTTTCCCAGCTGACTTCAACAGTCCGCTTTCAAAACAAGGGTTTAGGGTTTGGGGTCTCGGGTTCCCTATGCAAGCTGACACAAACATGGCAACTGCACAATCGCCTGAAGAACCAAGTCCAAGCCCGCACCCAGGACCAGAACAATGAGACGCCTCTTTTCTGGGCCGCCAGCTACCACCATGCAACCTGGGCAAGCAGTCTCAGGTCCTGTCTGTTTGGAGATCTCTTGCAGCGCAATCGTGCAAGAGAGGTTATCGTCATATTGTGATTCGTGTGCAGCGTTGCACTGCGTTAGCAAGGAGGAGGTCAAAGTCTTACGGTTTAGGGTTTGGTAAGATACCTGGAGAGAAGCGGGCTCAGGTTGCCATAAAATCGTCCCGCAAAGCCCAGTCTCTTGCCAATGTAGACCTAAACCCTAAACCCTGAACCCTATAAACCCTAAGCCCTAAACCATCATGCACTGTCGGGGGTATGGCTGTGCAGAAACAAGTCGCGGCGCAGCTCCAGCAAGAAGTGACAGGCGTGCCAACAGAGGCTTCAGCCCACGAGCAAGTACGGTAGCAGCTCTGGCAGTCCAGCCCCAGGTTCGTCGATCTTCTGCATAGGCCCTTCAACACAAGGGCGGAACCCCCTAAACCCTAAACCCTAAACGCTAAGCGCTAAACCCTACACGACTTGACGATATACAACTCCCAAGCTTCAGGCAGAGGTTTGTCAGCTCCTACTCGACTCTGGCGCTGACAACAACCACATTGACAAGTTTCTGGGCATTGGGCAGGGGACAGTCGGCTAGACTATCGCGGGAATATTCAGCCTGGAGACCTCGCTAATCCTGAGAGACCTCCAAACTTACACCCCGAAGGCCTATTTCAAGCGCATGTTCCCTGAAACCCGAAACCTTAGGATTCTTGGAATGTCCAGCCTTTTTATGGGTCAGGTCCTCCGCATCTAAACCCCACTTTGACCAAAATATAGGCAAAACATAGGGGCCCTCTTTACTACCAGGCAGAAGTCCCTCAACCCAGAAGCCAAGGCCCTAGAAAACCCGCAAGCCCCCCGAAGCCCGAATCCTTTCTCAACCCGATTGCCCCTAAACCCTCTAAACCCTCACCCTAAACCCTAAACCCTAAACCCTAAACCCTCGAAGCCCCAAACGCCCTAAAGGCCCTAAAAGCCCTAAACCCGCCTGAACCCTGAGCTGACTCCTGCGCTTGGAGTCTGGGGGGTCCTTTCTTCGCAAACTTTAAACCCAGAGAGCCCAAGACCCCTTAATTAGGCAATATTCCTTAAACCATGTAGGGCCTATATGCCTATATTATAAGAATAGTAAGGATGCCTATATGCCTATATTATAGGCATATAGGCACCCTTATTATTATTTTAAGAATATTCCTTAGTCAAGGGGTATTGGGCTCCTTAATAGGGATGAAAAGTTCCCCCTTATACCCCAACCGTCCGAGTCCTTAATAGGGATTTGATTACCCCCCCCCCCCCTATTATAATCCCTATTAAGGGCTGTTAGTATACGGGGGGACATCCCAACCTAAACCCTTGGAAACCCTGGATCTTACCCTAAACCCTAAACCGTAAACCCTAAACCCTAAACCCTAAACCCTAAACCCTAAACCCTCGAAGCCCCAAAAGGCCCTAAAAGGCCCTAAAAGCCCTAAACCCGCCTGAACCCTGAGCTGACTCCTGCGCTTGGAGTCTGGGGGCCCTTTCTTCCCAAACTTTAAACCCAGAGAGCCCAAGACCCCTTCATTAGGCAATATTCCTTAAACCATATAGGCCCTATATGCCTATATTATAAGAATAGTAAGGATGCCTATATGCCTATATTATAGGCATATAGGCATCCTTACTTACTATTATTTTAAGAATATTCCTTAGCCCAACCGTCCGAGTCCTCAATAGGGATTTGATTACCCCCCTATTATATTCCCTATTAAGGGCCCCTTAAGGGCTGTTAGTATACGGGGGGACATCCCAACCTAAACCCTTGGAAACCCTGGATCTTACCCTAAACCCTAAACCCTAAACCCCAAACCCCAAACCCTAAACCCTCAACCCTAAACCCATACCCTTACCGTAAGCAGCGAGCCCCAGGTTCGGCTACTCACCTTTCTGGTGGGCCGTGCATAAGGGGCATCTGAATGTGATGCCGCTATGCAAAGACTGAGGTTCCAGAGCTTTTGTTTCTTTGTTTTTATTTTTATTTTTTTTGGAGGGGGGGGGGGGAGTAGGGGGGAGTGGGTTTCGGATTTAGTGGGTTTTAGTTCTGGTCTTTTCGTCTTGAAAAGGGTCTAGGGCTTAGACCCAGGTTTCGTGATTTTTGTTGCTGGGGGTGGGAGGGGGTGGCGAGGTTAGCTTGAGAAGATGCCAGCCACCTCGTAGTTCGCCCAAGGCAACCTTTATCGCCGGTGGAGTGCACCTTGATTCTAGGGTATCCGTCTTCCTTGGCTGAGGATATAGGTTACGCCAGGTAAGAGCCGACACCTTCAACCCAACGCGCCCAGGGAGATCTTGCTTCGGGATAGATCCGTGGACATGCAAGCCACAAATGGCTGGACACCACTGTTCAGGGCAACAGGCCGGGCGGGACATGTGCCTGTAGCTTCAGGGTTTTAGGGTTTAGGATGTTATTTTCCAAAGCACGGATGCGAGAAGGGTTTAGACTTTCAAGTTTGGGGTTTTGTGTTTAGGGTTAGAGGAAAAGGTTTTGGGTTCCAGGAAGTTGGCTTTGTGTTTTACGGTTCGGGTTGAAGGTTTAAGGTTTTGATATATAGGTTTTTGGCTTTAAGGTTGTGGGGCTTTAGGGGTTTGGGTTTAGGATTGGCGTTTGCTTTGCGCAAACTTGCTGTTGTGTTCGGCTGCGCTTGCGATGGACCTCTTCGGTATGGATCCTGGCTAGAGTAGCCACAATAGACCTTAATTCATGATGAGCTTTCCTGAAGCTCGGGACTGAAGTGACCACAACATCAAGGGCTCAGCATACCCGTACTTGGAGAATAGACCTTGCTTCATAAGAAGGCACATGTTTTGAATGAACTAAGGGGTAGTGGGCTCTCTGATAGCACACACAGGCTCCAAAGCAGTTGCTGTCTGGCTCCTTCCCGAGCATAAGTATCTGCTTGCTTTTCGGTACAACACCCTAAACCCTGAACCCTAAACCCTGCGTCAAGCCCCGCCCTCACCTTCCTTCCGCCATAATGGGCTGCGAGAATGCTTCCTTCTTGCACTTAGGGTTTAGGCTTTAGGGTTTAGGGTTATTAGGGTTTAAGGGCCTGCGCATTCTTGTGACAACCATGAGATGGAGTGCCTCATACGTACTTGCCCGTGTAACTTTAAAGTCGACTCCCAAGCCCGGATGCCAAAATGCTTTGGGCTGCAAGTATATGCCCTCAAACAAAGAAATTGTACCCGAACTATTGGTATGCTTTCCTTTCTTGGGTATGTCCCCAACCCCTAAACCCTAAACCCTAAACCCTAAACCCTCTGCTTGCACACCCCCTTGTCGCAGCTTCATCGGCCCAGTGGCTCATTGCACGCGGGGCCCAGGCAGGTGTGGGAGGGAGGTGGAGTTCCGGGAAGTACTTGGGAGGCTCATGGGCAAGGGTTTAGGGTTTAGGGTTTAGGGTTTAGAGTTTAGGGTTTAGGGTTTAGGGTTTAGGGTTTAGGGGTTGAACCTCCAAGTAAGCCTTGAACCATGTCTGGGAGTTCCGTGCTAGAGTTCGAAGTAGAACAACATGATGAGTGGCGCTCCTGGCAGGTGAACCACGTCGACAACGTGCGCAAGCAGACTGCAATCTTCTTCGCCGTGGAGAGGAATGACATGGAGCTGGTGAAGGTGGGTTTAGGGTTTAGGCTTTGGGGTTTAGGGTTTAGGTTTTAGGGCAATTTTGGGGTGGAGTTGGAGGTTGGGCCCTCTCACCACCTGTTGGTCATGTACACTGTACACCATAGGAGCTAGAGTTCGAGCTCTCACCACATTACAACAGGCAGCAGTGGTTGCCATGTTGTTTGCAGATCTGCGTCAGCCACGCGCAACGACGTTTTCAAGAATACTGAGTGTGGCAAGCTGCATTCAATCTTCTGCCCTCGACCCTAAACCCTAAACCTCAAAACCCTAAAGTCAGGCCAATAAATGCGGTTGAGCTCGTGGCCTCAGGAGGAATCACAGACGAACGAAACCCTCAGGCCCGAAACAAGCACCCAAAACCCTCGGCCCGCCATAGGCCCCCAAGCCCTAAGAGTGCGTGAGAAGAACCCTAAACCCTAAACCCTAAACCCGAAGCCCTACACCCTAAACCCTAAACCCCAAGCCCTACACCCTAAACCCTAAACCCTCAGAGAGCTCCGCGAGGTCTTGTTGCGGCATGGGGCCGCGCCTCGACTCAACCGTCGAGTTCTGGGTTTGAAAGCTTCAGGTTTGGGGTTTTTGTAGAGTTAAAGCTTCGGGTTTAGGGTTTAGGGTCTGGGGTTTAGGGTTTAGGGTTTAGGGTTAGGGTTTTTCACTTTTTGGTTCGGGTCTGGGTCTACAGTTTAGCGTTTTTAAGGGCTGATGGGGTTTAAATCTTTGTTCCAGGGTTTAGGTTTGAGGATTCAGTGGCTGCTTGACGCGGGGAAAGCTTGCGTTCGCTTCAAGCCCAGATGCAAAAAAGGATTTGGTGGCGTAGAGCGCAGCTAGGAATAGGAAGCTCCGCAGTACCCAGATTCACTTTCCCTTGTGAACCCTAGTCAGGCAGGGGCTTGCTGTCCAATTAGTATTCGTGGTCGCAGCCACTGTGGCCTATTTTTTGCAGTTGCTGGCCCACTTTGGTATTCCGCAAGACGTCGTTAGGATGGAGGGTTTAGGGGGGTTTCGGGACAGATCTTTAGGTGCCGGTCAGGCACAGGTGGGAACAGGGACAGTGCTTGGACCGTGTGCACCGAAACGCCACGAACACTATATGATCTACGGCTCTGTCGTCATAATTCTGTCCCGACTGCCGCTTGCTCGTGTCTCAAGCTTCCAGCTAAGGACATTAACTTCAAGGACCAGTATCAGCAGACCTGCCCACTCCTCAGGGCAAGCTTCATTTCAAGAACACATGTGTGTTGTTTGCTTGCACAAGGCTTTGTGTCCCAAGCAAAGTAAATGGATGGCATGGACGTAAATCCCAAGCCCTGCAAATACAAAACCCAAAACCCTAAACCCTAGTTAAACTCTAAACCAAAAACTTGGCCCTAAACCCAAATCCGGACCCTGAGCAGCCCGGAACCCGCGTTTTCGGGTTTCCAGGTTTAGGGTTTGGGGTTTGGGGTCTAGGGCTTGCTCCGCTTCTATGAGGCCTTTTCTATGCCGTGAACCTGGGGCACACGGAAATGACGAAACTGCTTGTCGAAATGAAAGCAGACATCCTGTTGAAGGACCCAGGGGTTTAGGGTTTAGGGTTTAGGGTTTAGGGTTTGGGGTTTAGGGTTTAGGGTTTAGGGGCTTCGGGTTGAACGAATTCAGGGTTTTTGGGAGGTTCATCAAGGAACCCCTCTGCGTAACCTTGTTCCCTGTTTGCATGGGTTGAGTTCCCACATGAACTACTTGCTGACTCTTAGGGGATGAATGAGGTACCTATGTACTCCCTTAAAGGGTATATAGGGCCCTAATTCCCTCATGCCCTACTAGGAACCAGGGGGACTAAGCTGAGATCGTCTAAAAACTGGGTTCGAGACACGAGCGCGCCTTTTCTTCTGATCCGAGACCATCCAATCCGTTCATCGTGAGCTCAGTCAGTTGGATGCTTGATCCTTCCGTCCATCCAAAGAGCCCAATAAATCAAAGGCCTATATGTATAATATCTATAAAAAAAATTAATCCTTTGTTCATGAACTCAGGTGTATGTGTGTGTGTGTGTGCGTGTGCGTTGAGTCATTGTGGGAAAGAAAGGCATGCAATAAATGCTTGTTTTTATTTTTTTTTCTGAAGAGGGCTGTTAGCCTACAGGTTGTGGTGTGCTGGGGAGCGCTGAGACGGAAAGGAGCTTGCTACAATCTTTGGACCCAAAGCTTGGGATGTTCCTTTGCATACTAACAGTCCTTAAAAGGGATTATTTATAGTACCCCCTATTCTACTCCCTATTAGGGACTGTTAGCATAGGGGGGGGGGAACATCCCAACCCAAAGCTGTATTGAGATGTGTGAGTAACCCCCGCGTGTCCTCAGCAAGCTGACCTGTTTCAGTGACGAGAGCTTCCCCTAAACCCTAAACCCTAAACCCTAAACCCTGAACCCTGAACCCTAAACCCTAAACCCTAAACTTTAACCCTAATTCCGAAACCCTAAACCCTAAATCCTAAACCCTGCCAGGATCTGGGTGGAAGGACAGCAACAGATTTTGCCAGGAAGAACGGTGCCCTGCCACGGGCAGAGAGCGCCATTCGGTATGTGCACTTCGGCTGCATAACTGATTCGTCTTTAAGGGCTTTAGGGTTTAGGGTTTAGGGTTCAGGGTTGAATTAGGGTTTAGGGTTTAGGGCTTAGGGTTTAGGGTTCGGGTTGGGATGTTCCCCGTTACACAAACAGTCCTTAAGAGGGATGAGAATAGGGGGGTACTATAAAGCGGATGAGAATAGGGGGTACTATAACCCCTATTAAGGACTGCTAGTATAAGGGGGAACATCCCAGCTGAGTAGGATTCAGGGAGAACATGGGTGTGCGGTTGATAGGCAGTTGCGACTTGGGACTTCACGGCTTGCCCGTTCGCCCATCAACATGTTGGTCAAAGCAAGCCCTGCAAGAACCAAGAAAACGGCATAGTCGCTACATGACCTTCCAGAACAGAACAAGGATCTAGACCAAAAGCTCTACTTGGATCCCGTGTATTTGTAACTAGGCTTATAAGACTTATAAGTATGGTAACTTTACAATCGAATCCTGTGTAAGGTACTTCTAACCCTGCTAACAACAACGCATGAACCAAGTAGACCATACCTTATGGTCCATAAGCCCTGTATGCACCCCAAGCATGCTCAGGCTCTGGGCTATCGTCACCTCCCGAGACGCGAACCTCTTAAGACCTGAACCCCCCCTCCGGCCAAAAAATCGCAGAAGTTTGTCAACTCAGCCAGGCGCTGGTATTCGCAAAGCCGAATTCAACCCGAAACCCTCTCAATCCTGAAGCCGCCAAGCAAGCAGGAACTTCCCCCAACACGTCAAAAGCCGCAGCTCTCATCAGCTGAGGGAAGCAATGGCCGAGCCGTTCGAGGAGTTTGCTGTGGATAAAGCTTAGGTTTGTGTTTTGGGTGGTCCGGGTCTGGGGCTCAAGCATAGAGGTCCCCTTTTGGGGTTTAGGGCTTAGGTTTTTTTAGGGTTTATCGGGGTCCAATACCTTTTTGTCCGTGCCTATGCTTCGTGGACATCCTGTGGGCTGCTTGTTTGGAGATTCGAGTCTTGCACGGTTTAGGAAGTTTAGGGTTAGGGTTTAGGGTTTAGGGTTTAGGGTTTAGGGTTTATAGAGTTTAGGGTTTAGGGTCGGGCCAGACTACCATACACATCAAGCCGAAAGCTGGTTTCTCCAAGGAGCGACAACCCTAAAGCCTATGTCGAAGGAGATGCCAAGCAAAAAGCCGACGGAGTCGACCTGTCAGACTGCTGTACAGGTCCTATGCGCAAGTCAAAACTCCAAAGCGCCGCAACGCGCCATGGGATGGGCTTGCCCTTCAACGTCCGGATCATTGTTCCACCCCTCATGGTTTCACTCCATCTGCTAATTCAGATCACGACCCTCATGTATTCGGGCTCAGGGTTTTAGGTTCCCCGTTGGTTCGTGAAGCGGGTGCCCAAACCAAGGGTACAAGAGGGCCCAAGGTAGAAACCCTGGGATTCTGCGCAGGACAAGCAAAAGAAGAGAAGAGGACGCCCTGGCCAGGCTTCGCCGAAGAAGGCACCCTAAACCCTAAACCCTGGGGCTTTTCTCAAGGGGGCTGGGGGTAGTTAGGTCTCGGTACAA